AGGATTTTCTAAGCATGGTCTCCACCTGCTGTTTGAGCAGAGCTTGAATCCTGGAGAACTTCCAGATCTTCACCCAGTTCCTTCCAGAGAAATGTGATTGTGAACCAATACAGTTTATGCTGCATCCATTTATACATGCACTTCACTGTACCCACCCTTCTGTGCAAGCTGTGGATGGATATTGATGAGCTGAGTTAAATTCATGGAGCGAGTTTTCATGAATAAAGCCCTACACGCATGAACTTTCCTATACAATACCACACAGCATTGTTGTTAGTTGCGAAGTCGTGTCCGACCCATTGCAACCCCATGGACAACATTCCTCTAGATCTTCCTGTCCTCTACTATCTTCTGCTTCAGTGACTCTATCCAGCCACCTCATTCTCTGTTGTCCCCTTCTTCTATTGTCCTCAATCTTTCCCAGCATTAGGCTCTTCTCCAGTGAGTCCTTCCTTCTCATTAGGTGGCCAAAATACTTGAGTTTCAACTTCAGGATCTGGCCTTCTAAAGAGCAGTCAGGGTTGATCTCCTCTAGGACTGATCAGTTTGATCACCTTGCAGTCCAGGGCACTCACAGGAGTCTTCTCCATCACCATAGTTCAAAGGCCTCAATTCTTTTGCGCTCAACCTTTCTTATGGTCCAACTTTCACAGCCATACATTGCAACTAGGAAAATCATGGCCTTGACTATACGTACTTTTGTTGGCAGGGTGATGTCTCTGCTTTTTAGTATGCTGTCTAGATTTGCCATAGCTTTCCTCCCCAGGAGCAAGCGTCTTTTAATTTCTTGGCTGCAGTCCCCATCTGTGGTGATCTTATTTAAGGGACAGCCTTTCTCTCATTCTATAAGATCAGGCAGAGTGGGCGTACTCCAGGTCCCACCAATTAAAGAGTGCCATCTTGTGGGGTCCCAGAGCTGTGCTTTTACAGTGGAATATCCTTCCTCTGGTAGTTCATCTAGGCTGAATGTTAGAAAAGGTCTGAAAACCTGGCTTTTCAAACAGCTCAGATGCCAGGATGATAAGTAAAGGAAGAGTGATTGGCATTTAGATGCACCAAATTTGCTGATGTTCGTGCTCTATGGGTTCTATACATCTGTATATCATCTGGAGCCTTTCGATTTATCAACCTCTAATTAAATAATAAACTATGGGAGTAGCTATTTTACTCTGCTTTTTTACAAACCTAGCAAAAAGCCATTGTGTTAGATCTTTATTTTTGCATAAGAAGAAAGAGAAGATGATTCAGTATGGTAGTAAAGGCAACCACTACTCAGTCTGCTGGGTTGCAAAGCTCAATACCAGCAGTTAAGTGTCCCCACTTGCAAAGCTCTGTGTCAAAAAAAAAGGTGTAAGAGGATATAGAGTATTAAGTCACAATTGTAAACATAAAGCCCAGCAAACCTGCAAAGTCAACCCAGTAATTGTGGCATTTTCATTCCACCCTAAAATTAGGCATCAACAAGGCACAAAAGTACACATAATTACCAAAGTACAAGAAATCAACAAGGAGCCCTTTGCATTTTTAGTAGCCCTCTGAAAGGTCAAAACAGAAAAGAACCAAAAGCACGCACAAAGACATGATTTTTGCACTCATAATGTGCACTTTGAAAATGTCAGCAATACTTGCCTTATGCACAGTCAAAGATGCCCATTTGTATTTGTTTAAATCTAAGTAGGCATCAATCATAGCAAAAACTCGGGGCTGTAGGTTATATTGGACAGCTGAAAAAGATCCTGGAAGAAGGCTATCCTTTCCATTTTATTGCCCAGAAAACAACTCTGAAGTCATTACAAGTCATGCTGAGCTTAGTTCATGGTGACTACATCCATGCAGTTGTCCTTGCAGTATAAGAATCATGGTTTGCTATTGCCTTCTGGGATTGTTTAAAGAATATTTCCCAGTCTAGTCAGTAGTCCTGGAATTCCCAGGTACTTCTTATCCCTATATTGAACTAACTCTGTTTTAGTTTCTAAAACTAGGTATTGCTACCTGCTGAGACTCTTAATGACTATTTGCAATGTACACAAGGATTGCAACCATGCAGCTTCTGCCTCTGAGTTAGGCTGATATAACTATGGTTTTCCTCTTAAAGCTACCCCCTCATTATACTGTTCAATCTCAGTCAATAGCAGTAGAGATAGAACTGTTCCGCCTTCCTGTAATGAATAGACTGATCTCAGCCCTATAAGATGGACCAGACTAGGAAACCAATATAATATAGGCCAGGACCACTTTTATTTGAACAAATACAGTAACAGAATTGTGCTTCCCTCTCCATCCTCTGATACTTGTGTAAACCAGGGAAGTGCTTGTCTGAGATACTTTTTCAAGTTATTTTCTTGGCCCCAATTGAAGCCCCTCTTATCTTGGCAGTGTCTCTCCCTCATGTTCTTCAGGGCCATTCCCTACGTCCTCTGCAACTGGAAACTTTTTGAGCAAAAAGAGAATAATCTGGATTCAAATGTTGGAAGTTCTAGAATGAATAGAGCAACACTGTTCAAAATTTCCCTATTTTAGTCTGAGAGCAGGTTAGTCTCAATGTGTTTTGTCTTGATTCCAGAACTTATGCCATGGTACTGACAGACAGAGACAAATAAAGCAGAACTCCAAGGCTTGCAAGTTCCTCAAAGAACATGTTTATTGATAGAAAGTATCAGCACATCAAAAGTGAAACCCAGTCTGAATAGACACGTAACCCCACCACTAAAGCTATGCAAGCTACTACATTCCCTAATACAACTTCTTGGCGGGCTTTTCACTAAACTCCCAGCTTGCAGTCCCAGGAGTAGCTGATGACCTTGGTTCCCACAGGAGAAAGTCTGTTTTGTCTAGCGAAGCACCTGGTAAACCCCCCTCCCTCCATGCTATGTGTCAATCAAAAATGAGTAGGGAAAATGGCAGCAGCCACGCTCATTTTCAAAGTTGACAGTTGGCTCGACAGTTGGGTTGGAACTTTGGTGAGGGGAAGGAAGAGATGGATAGTTTTTGGCATTTCTCCCCACGGCACCCACCTCTTGAGCAACAGGAATCGTATCTTTCACCTCCAGGCAGCCGAACGTCTCCTTCAGTTGTTCGAGCGAGGAGCTGTGGACTGCTGACAAATCTCCATTCTCCGGAGTCATCCTATCCCATCGAGCCCTTTCCTTTCTTTCCATCCACAGACAAAGAACAATAAAAGCTCCTCTCCAGTGGTTAAAGGAGTGCTCCTGCACTGAGGGGCAGCCTTGGCTTGGAAGAGGTCCACTAGGGCTGTAGTTCTTTCCTGCGGTTCCAGTTTCCCAGGTTGGATCAACCTGGTTTTCGACTGAGCCCCTACCAATGACGCCTCCTCAATAGCTGGAGAGCCACCCTGCGCTCTGACAGCCTGAGTCCTGTTGCCACTAACAACAGTTTCAACTTTCTCCTCCATCTCGAGTCTTCACTGTGTCTTTGCCGCTCTCCCAAAAGTGATTGGGTAGGCGGTCGGGGCCCAGCACCCTCAAAAATGAAGTTTGTATGAGACTTGGTTTAATGTCATGGTTCTGACAGACAGAGACAAATAAAGCAGAACTCTGAGGCTTGCAAGTATCTCAAAGAACATGTTTATTGATACAAAGCATTAGCACGTCAAAAATGAAACCCAGTCTGAATAGACACGTAACAATCCCCAGTACAAGGTTAAGAAATCCCACCCCTAAAGCTGTGCAAGCTACTACATTCCCCAATACATCTTCTTTGCGGGCTTTTCATGAAATGCCCAGCCTGCAGTCCCGGGAGCAGCCGATGACCTTGGTTCCCATGGGAGAAAGTCTGTTTTGTCTAGTGAAGCACCTGGTAAACCCCCTTCCCTCCATGCTATGTGTCAACCAAAAATGAGTAGGGAAAATGGCTGCAGCCACGCTCATTTTCAAAGTTAACAGTACTCAAGTGTTTTGTTTCAAGCTTGGAACATATTCAACTTAGGTCTTTTTAAAATGAGTGACAACCAGCTAAATCCTCTCCCTCTGGACTAACACTGAGCAAGTAAATTGGATGGTCCATGCACAGCTTTAATTATAATCCAGATAATTACTGAATTTGGGAACTTAAAGCAGTTGATTAATTCTGAATTCTGCTTCATTAGTGCAGTTTGATGGAAGAAATTCAAATAAATAGGGAGCTACCTTATACTCAATCAAATCTAGTTTGCTACTATTTATATAGCTTGACAGCTGCTATCCAAAGTTTCAGAGGTAACCTTTTCCAGGTCAGTCTGGAAATGCTAGAGATTAAATCCAAAATCTGCTTGTAAAATACATGCTTTACTATTAGCTGATGGCTCTTCCCAAATTTAGCAAACAGGCAACCGAAATACTATTCTTTTCCAGCTTAGCTTTCTTTAGCAAGTCAGTTTCATTGGTATATGTATGTTTCATTTCTCAGAAATTTGGGATATTTGGCATTTTAAGAATTAATTAGGTGTATTATACAAATTTTCATGGATTACAACTTATTTCATAGAAAATAGCTCGGAAGAGAGAGAGAGAGAAAAAAAGAGAGAGAGTATTTAGGAGGAAGGCAGAGAAGGGAATAATCTACAGAAGGGAGAATGGTGAGAAAAGAGGACAGAGAATTATTTTGGGGATGGGAGATAAATTACTTAGATCATGTCCAGAATTAAAAAAATAAAATTTGTATTTTTTGAGAGCAGACCATCTATTGCAATAGACATGATACTGCATCTTAAAAATCTAATAAATCTATGAAAAACTAAGGTTATTCTACTGAGAAAGAAATACATCTCATATATTATATTTCATGTAAGAAAGAAGAACCAGAGAAAACAGTGAAGGTAAGGAACGTGACCGCATAAAAAAAGGCAGTTGGACATGCCACAGAATAACTAGTTAACACAAGCAATTTGATAACAAGGTGTGTATGCAAAAGCCTTGGATTGTGTTTAATCGATGTAAAATGGTGTTGAATTTTCAAAAGAATTTCAGCTAAACTAATCAGGCTCTGCAATTCTTTTTCTCAAGTATTGCCACCTTGAGGTCTAAAATGGAACATCCGGGGAGCTGACGTGTTTCCCTAATTATTTCTGCATACTTATTCTGTTCAGAAATGGTAAGTTTTGATAGACTTTTGCAAGGGCTGCTTCTATGTTAGTCCAGTTAATAAATCTGTTATTTTTTTTCTTTTTACGACCCATAATCCCTTTATTCTGGGTGGAGTCATGGCAACTGAGTGGAGCTAAGCGTTTACTGGCCCAATGCCCTTCTTGATGTCTATACTATATTTTCTCTTTGAGCCCTGATGGAGAAACATCTGTTGCTGCCTAGGATTGAACTCACAACCTTCCAAGTGGGAGGCAAGCATCTTTATCTCTAGGCCATCACACCACTCAATAAATCTGTTAAATATAATCTGTTCAAAATTCATTCTGAAGATAAGTTATTCTAACACGGCCATTAAAATAATGGTGTTCTGTTGTACCATATGTGCCCAGAGTTCTGCCATGAACCCAGAGATTAAAGTATCATTTGTAACGATAAAAAGAGTGAACTGCTTGAGAAACAGATTTTGTTAGTTAGTTCATTAGAAATTCATCAGATTTCATTAGCTCAAGCAGAAAGATGGTATAACAAATAAGTATATTTAAGATTGAACTAGAATAATATAGCGTGTCCCCCATTTTATGCTATGAAACTTTTTTTTGCTTTATCTGGAGATCCCAAACTGGATATAGGTTTAGTGACCCAGGATGAAAATGGAGTTGGGGAGAACTTGTTGGAAGGAAGGAAGAAAGGAAGGAAGGAAGGAAGGAAGGAAGGAAGGAAGGAAGGAAGGAAGGAAGGAAGGAAGGAAGGTTGGTTTAAAGCTTTTGTACAACCAATCAGCATTTAAGAACAGATCATACAGTAATAAGGAACAGTTTTCTTTCTCTCCATCCAGCGCCTTCTGGTATATGCAAAAAAGGCTCACTCATATGCACTTGACCAGTTCTTCCATATTCATGCAGCATCTGACAGACCATACGAAATAATTATTGAGGCAACACAAACCTCAAGTTGACATCTAATTGCCATACACCATTTTATTTTTGCATGAGATATATGGATGATTGCATGTAGAATGCATGTATGTGTGTGTTATGCTTGAATATTAATCAACCCATATTTACCCCTTCATTCCTCCATCTATTTTTATGTCACCAAACTGAGCAAAACAGAGGAGACGAATGAAAGGCAGAAGCTACACATGAGCTGTCCTGTGTTGGTCAGCTCCCAAGATGACTGTTCTTGGGAAAGAAAGAGATTCTACCAGTTGTCCTTCTTAAGTGGTTTAATTCCAAATGATCAGACCATCCATTGTTTCTTATATAACTTCTACCTTGAGATGGTATCAGTATGTTCTGCACAAGGAGATTGTGCTGTATTTAGACAGAACCTCTGATTCCCTTTGTTCCAACTAGAGACCTCAAACAGCATGTCCTGCTGTTGATGTAGAAGGATCCTTTTTCTGAGAACATTGTCCATGATCCCATGATACTTTGTTAAAAGAATCTCATTCCCCCCCTCATAGATATCCTTGCCCATTCCAGGTAGACCACTCTCTGAAAATAGCCTATGATAATAAATATCTTATTTTCATTCAGTTGAGTTCCATTCCCATCTACACAGCTATATTTTCCCCAGGATAGGGGATAGGATATTTTTGTTTCATGTGTAGATTTGAGTTTGTTTTTATTATTCATAGCTGCTGTTCAGAATCTTCCTGAAAAGATGCACTCAGCCTCACTTCAGTGAATTTCTACTCATTCCTTCATCCACACAATAAAATCCAACTCAGTGCATAATATATAATATGCTTGTTAGTTTGTGCGTGCTATTTCATCCATATGCTGTCTCCTGATTAAATAAAAGTCTGTTCCTAATTATCCTACTCTGCCTTTGGTCTGGATATCAGGAAAATCTGATGCCCACTTGACTACAAACTATTATTAGTAGAAATTAGGACAAACAAATAGAATCTGTTACTCCTTAACTATGCAAAGAAGTTAGTATCTGATCCTTTCTTTATTAGAAAGAATCTCAGTACTGTAGTCTGGAAGATTCTGATATAAATTTCTGCATAAATTGCATTTGATCGAATCAGAGCTTGCTTACTTTTTTATTAGCAATCAGCTGCCTTGTGCAATCCCTGAATAATCACAATTAATCCATTGTTCTCTGTTGCAAGTTGGAAATAAGTAAATCTTTTAACCACAAACAGGAAAATCACTGCTTTTCTGGTGGACTTATAGGTAGGATTTTATGCTGTTCTAAACAAAACACAAATGGTTTTCCTCTACGAAAACCTACAAAAGTGTTAGCATTGGGTGGAATAGCATGGGTTATAGGAAGCAGTGAAACAAAAGATCATTCTTCAGAAAGCATTTAGTACCTTTTCCTGGTTATTGAAATTATTCTGAAAGACCTTGGTTAAATAGAGAGTTGAGATTATGTTACACAAGACCAGTCAGTCTCCATAAATAATAAGCACACTGAGATAAGAATGTATTGGCCTATCACTATTGTGTGTGGCAAAAGGAAAGCAGATTTAATGTAGATTGATTGCAAATACACAGAGGCAGAATCTGACAGCTTAGTCAGAATGACCCAACAAAAATTGCAACATCACAGTGCAGGCTCTGCCCCATACATACATGCATACGATAACCCATAATCCTCATAACCCATATATAAAAGAAGTAAAGTTTGAACCACAATATTCATCTTATCCCATGCATCTCTACTCTCCCACAAACATCTATGCCTCCATATGAAGAAGTCCATGCAGCCATGGCCCTGCTTTGATGAGCTTTTTAGTTCTTCTAATAATTGTAAGTTTCTGAAAGACAATTCCCTTCTCCCAAGATTTCCCTTGACTTATTATTTCATTAGTTTTGTTCCCAAACTCTCTTAGATCTTCCCTTTTTCAGAATCTACTGCTGGAACACTAAACACTATAATTTGAATGAGGCACTCAAGGAAACCTGAAGCACTAACTTGATCAGTGCATGAATGGGAAATTATAGTCCATGAAAGGACAAATATGAATAATTACACTAAAAGAGATTGGGATTCTGTTTTGATAAAACAGGATGAAAATGGAGTTGGGGAGAATAGGAAGGAAGGAAGGAAGGAAGGAAGGAAGGAAGGAAGGAAGGAAGGAAGGAAGGAAGGAAGGAAGGAAGGAAGGAAGGAAGGACCCGCATGCCTGCTTCAGGCACCAAAATCCAAAATATTAGATAAGATCAGAAGTTTACCACAAATATCTTTTTGGTCCTATATTAAAAGTAAAAAAAACAAAACAAAAAACCAGGCTACATAAATGAAGTATAGTGAGAAAGAACATGATCAGCACAATTTATTTAATTTAATTTAATAAAAGAACAAGTTTATAGTAACAAGTTAAGAGTATTAAAAGGGGAACTAATGGAAGTAAAAACAAAACGTTGCTGGAACTAAAGGAGCTGAAAAGTCATAAGGAGAACAAAGGGCAATGTAATTTCTCCGGATTTACTTACTGAAAAATATATGAATAATTTACAGAGCACTATTTGGTCATAAGCCAAAAAACCAATTCATGAAAAAGAAGCTCATTCTGCATTTGACACTAAAGTTTTTGGAAAGATGAAAGGGACAAGGTGAGTTTTACCTCTTTGAGGATCCAAAGCTGAGGCAGAAACACTCCAGTGATAGAAAGGACTTGTACCAATGTGACAGCCCTTCAAGATGGACCAGACTAGGAAATCAATGTCATATAAATCAGTATTAATCTTATTGTAAAGCTGTAGAAACAGAACCTTGCAAATCTGAATGTGCTTCCTCCTCCATTCTCTCTATCTTTGTGTGTATTAGGCAGGGGTTTGTCTGAGAGGCTTACTAATGTTACTTCCTTGGCCTGGGCTCAGCTCCATCCTATCTGACCATTGCCTTGGTAGTATCCCAAGGGTGATTTTTCACTACGCAACTGGACTTCCTTGGGGCTTTTTTTGAAAACGTTTCCTGTCTCATCCAAGATGCTTCTTCAGAGCTGAAGAAGCTTCTTGGATGAGAAGCGAAATATCTTCAAAGAAAAACAAGGAAGTCCAGTTGCCTGGTGAAAAAGCACCTTTGGGATAACTATGACCTGGATGACTGAGAATCTCCATAGACATTTGCCTTGATAGTAGCTCCTCCTCCTGTCCTTCGAAGCCATTCCTTCTACACCAGGGTCTCCAGACTGGCAACTTTTAAGACTTGTGGACTTCAACTCCCAGAATTGCCACACTGGCTGACGAATTCTGGCATTTGAAGTCCACAAATCTTAAAGTTGCCAAGTTTTGAAGCCCCTGCTCTACACAAGCTTCAAGTGCAGAATGGATAGATCTTTCTGTTTGTTTGTCTCTGTGTTTTATCTTAATACTTTCATGAGGCTTCATTTAACTTGTAACAGGACATGGAAGTCTCTTTTTGAATGTATTGTTTTATGAAAGGGTCTATTTTTCGCTAAATCAAACATTTTTTTCCCCTTTAAAGTGCTTCTGCTGTTACCTCAGTTGACAATGGAGGCACATAAGTTGAATAGGGTTTAAATTACCTTAGAGTCAATTGAAGTTGCATTTTAGCTCCTCTCCTGTTCAGTGTTTATATTAACAATTTAGCTGACTAAATCTGCACAAGCAAGATTATCATTCCCCCAAGCAGCCTGGAGAGCACATTTCTATCCTTTTTGATGCTATGATCCTCTCTAGGACTTCAGTTGGCTTCAGCTGAACATTGCAAGCCACTGCTCAGTATTGCAAAGAGCACCAATTGCAAATTAGTTATTTTGAGAGCAAAATTCTGATCTGATAAATAAGTTTCCACTGTGCAAGTCTCATGCTAAAATATATGGGGCATGGTATTTCATGACTCAGATAGTGAAAGTGTATGTAGCAGGCATGCTCTTAAATCATTCTAAGCCAGGCTTTGACCTCAGCTAACATCATACTATAGACCACGGGTGCCAAACTCAATCACGTCATGTGACGTATCATGACTTTTTTGCCTTTGAGAAGCTGGGGTGGGTGTGGCCTGCCATGACACATCCAGCCCATGGGCTGCCAGTTGGACATCCCTGCTATAGACTGTAACTTGGCTCATTCTCCAAATTTGTCTCCTTGGAATAAATCCAGTCAAATTCTTTGAGGTGATGTTTCAGGTGCCTCATTATTAATGCAACATCTTGAATTGATTATTGATTAATTATGTTCCTTCAGGTCATTTTTGACAACCATTGACCACATAGATTTTCTCCATGATAATATATTTTCAATCAGGTATGATAAAAGTAACAAACGCAAGAGAAGTTTCTTGCTGTTTGGGACAAATGGATAAAATTTATACAATTTAGATTGGGTATACAAAAATATTATATAGTTTTTTCATAAGTTTTATTTTTATATATATTATAGATAATCTTTTTATATATATAAATATAAAGTTCTTAATTTAATTTTTATTTTTACTTTTTAAGCCTATATTCTGCTCTGGGAAGCTCAGGGGGGGGGGAAGGGAGGGGGGGGGTTTGGGAGGGGTGGGGTTTTTTTTTTTATATATATGTATTGTTTAGTTTTATTTTTTTGTATATGTTGTCTCTTGTTTTGTATTCTTTTTTCTTTTTTGTAAAATTTATAAAACTTTTAATAAAAAAAAAAAAAAAAAGTAGAAGCCAAAGACTAATTTTTTTTTTAATTGTCCTCCTCCCTGATGGCTTTGCCCTCTTGATAGTGGGAAATCAGTATAAGGAGAGCCCATTTGGTCTAGTGGTTAAGGTACCAGGCTTGAAACCAGGAGACTATGAGTTCTAGTCCTACCTTAGGCATGAAAGCCAGTGAGTGACTTTAGACCAGTCACTCTTTCTCTGCCCAACTCAGTTCACCAGGTTGTTGTGGAGAAAATAGGGGGGGAAAAGGAGTATTAGATATGTTCACCACCTTGAATTGTTTATAAAATGAATAAAGGCAGAATATAAACTGAATAAATAAGCGTTCTTGGAAGACTCCCTTGAAAATAAACAACATATAGAGGTATTAAAAACAGGGATATGATCAGGCGATATCATTTATAAAACAGTGCCTTCTGAATGTTAAATGGAAAACTGACCTTGGCTGAGTTCCTTAAATTGCTGCTGGACCAGTGCATGAAGTACCTCTTAAAACCTGGCTCGCACCTCACATATTTGGTTTATCTGGAGCACAAAAGTGTTTCTAACCTGGCAAGATGTGGTGCTCTTCCCACAGCAATCCTAGAAGGGAGATATTTAAAAAGTCTGCAAGTTAGAATAATTGTGCCCATGTGGGGATGAGATGTAGAAATAACTGAACAGGCTCTATTTGCTTGTCAGTATTGTTATCACGTAGAAAGTAGTTGTATTTTGCCATTGCTAGTAGATTTCCCAGATCACCCTCAGCAATTTAATACATTGTCTGATAAAAACTCTACAAACAGGTAAGTTTTATCCTAAACTGATTAAATTCATCTCCTGAGCATTAAATCCCACCCTCTCCTGCTAGGGTAAGAATATGTTGTTGATATTTCTGTGGCTAATAATTGACTTCCTCTAAAGGATAAAAATATTAAATAATTATAAGTTAATTATTTATATATATATCACCCAACACAACTCCTCAACATTTACAGAAAAAAATAAATGAATGAATGAATGAATGAATGAATGAATGAATGAATGAATGAATGAAGTCAGAACAGTTCCAAACATCCCAAACAACAGTGACTTCACCACCTGGAGGAAGGTGCTACAAAAGCTGATGTACAATTGAATATCGTCAGTATACTGATGATACTTTCCCCAAACATCTCAATGATCTCTGTCAGTGATATCATCTAAATGTTAAACAATAGTGGAGAAAGGATTGTGTTTTGTTATTCTACACCATAAAGGCATCCATGGAGATGAAAGATAGCCTAGACACTTCATAAGAAAATGAATAGCAAAATTCACTGCAACAGGTTCTGAGGAAATGATTGTTTATGTCACTGTCTGTAGTCTCTATAAATATGCTTTGGAGGAACAATATGGAGCAGCACTATGGCAATTTCCACTGCTTGCTATTTTTGAAAGAAAGGTCAATCAATTGGCATTTGTCTAGAGAACTATCATGTAAAACAAATAGAAGGTACATGAATGTGTGTTCTTCTAAGATCAAAACTGGTTATTAGTTTAGCTCATTTAAAGTAAGGTAGTGTCAGATGTGAATAACCAGACCCACAGATGTAAGGGTTAACGACTACTTTATTATTCTCTGCTTGTTACACAGGAATTTCCTCAGGCTGGTATTTTTTTTGTGGGAACTATGAGATAAGGCTCTAAGTCATTCAAGGAAGGTCAGACCTAACTCTCTTGTGGTTTATGTAGAGAGTCCAGGCTACTTCCACATTGAGGTTCTCCTCCCAGCTGGAATGGTTGGTTGCCAATAGGTAGGATTATAAATATACGGTACCTGTGGCTCCTACTATAACAGGCACAATTTCCTTCCCAAGGCAGGTGCACTACATCCGCTCCTTAGCTAAGTAAAGGGACGTCCACAAATATGTGTTTAGCTAAATACTGTAGGTGGAAAGAAAGAGGATGAAAGTTGCTTCTGGTACACAAAGGAGAGGCATGAAACAAAAAGGCAGAAAACAGGGAGAAAAGAAGTCACGGAGTTCACCAAATAACAGAAACAACCTGCATTCAATGAAAAAAGCATGATATTCAGGAAGAAGTAGTTGAAAAAAATGAAACTATAAATTTGAAAAAGTATGAAAAATAAAACAAACCCACAAACTAGATGGCAACTGATATAATTAAATAATCATGCTATAATTTTTCATTACTCAGCCACATATATCATTCACATTTCTGCATCAATTTACAGTTCTGGTCCATTTGAAGATAATCTTTGAGAATACCCGAAAGTGCTGGATTTGAAGGCAGTCAAAACAGTTGGTGGCCTAGCCAGTAACCCTGAGGCAACTTTTTTTTTTGATCTTACTAGTCATTAACAATTCTTTTGTATCTTGCAACTTCCATTCATGCAACTGTCTGCCTGCTAGAACAAGAATAAACTGTAAAATCAAACAAATAAAGAGTATATGTATAAGAGTTAGGATCTCTAATTTAGAAGTCTTTATTTTACAAAAAGTCTGCCTAATGTGAATGGTTTTTGCCATTTTGTCCCTCAGTTTCATAGCTAATACAGTATATACTCCTCCAACTGGATAAGAAATGAAGCAAGTTTAATCATGATGCAAAGAAGCACCTGGCCAGCTTGGATAGATGGGACATTTTCTTCCTTTTTTAAAAAAAAATAAACCAACATACCAGCTACAAGTAGTCCTTGATTTATGAATACAATTGAACCCAAAATTTCTGCTAAGCAAGACATTTGTTAGGTGAGTTTTACCCCATTTTATAACCTTTCTTGCACAGTCATTAAGTGAATCACTGAAGTTTTAAGTTAGCTGTTAAGTGAATCTGGCTTCCCCACTGTGTTTGCTTGTCACTTTTTGCCATGATCATGTGATCCCAGGATACTGCAACCATCATAAATAAATGCCAGTTCCCAAGCATCCAGACTTTGATTGTGTGACCATGGGAATGTTGCAATGGTCACAAGTCACTTTTTTCAGTGCTGTTGTAATTTTGAACGGCCACTAAATGAATGGTTGTAAGTCAAGGGCTATCTCTACTCCTATCTTTTAAAAGGAATCAGTGAAATGAATCAGAGTTTCCTGGAGCATGTCAGCATTACTACCAAAGGTTCTATGTTTTTTTGACTTCTTGATTACTATAAGGAATGTTGAAAAATGTCTAATTTCAGTCTTTTTCTAGTAATCAAAATGTTTGGAAGTGCAATCTAAATGTCATGCTTCTGATTAGTTTCAAAACACTTCTTCTTATGGACGTGATATTAAAACGCTCTTTTGCATTACACAATCAAAAGTTAGACTTCCTTGCAGTCATAGTTAACTCTCCAGCATAAAGCAAGAATGGGATGCAATATTGGCAACAAGGACAAGAGGGAGTGAAATGACTAAACACTGGTTAGGGCCATTAATAAGGCCCACTTCATGGTGATAAGAGAACCAAGCTTAATTTTCTGCTTTTATCATGTCTGCTGACAATTAGCTGGTATCCTTGTTTAGAGTAACCCAGTCCCTCTTCAGGAAGGTAGAATTTGCAGAGTTGCTGTAAGGAACACACTAGGTATTTGTCAGATAAAGTTACCCAAGTTTTCACTAAGCTACACTCTGGCCTTTGGAATTGATGGAATCATGATCCTGCTTGGCCACCTGGGATGAATTTGATCCAGTTGTTTTTGAGGAAGGATTCTTAGAGTTATAAGCTCAGCCATCTGTGTATTAGATCCACGCCTCTAAGTTTGGGAGTTTTCCTGAACGTGGTTCTTGTTCAAGGAACAAGTGGCAGCCATGGCAAGAAGAGCTTTTGCATAGCTATATGTTTTATGCCAATTTATACTTTTGTAGATCAAGAAGGACTGCTAATGGTCACTCAGGTCTTGAGTCGCCTCCCAAATGAACTACCACAATGTGCTTTACATGAGGCTACCTTTGAAAAACATCTGGAAGCTTCAGCTTGGTTCAGAGAGTAGACTTGACCCTGGGTGTCAGATCTACTATCTTCGGCTTGGTGCCTTGCTGGCATTCTGCCATCAGTTGGGGAAGGGAGGGAGAAACAAATGGGCAATAAAGCTCTATATCTTTATGATGGGAAATTGGGAGAGGGAAATAGACATGTGAGAAAGAACAGAGTGGTTTGGAATCTGGTTCATACTGGCATTGGCATCTTCAAGGTCATCTACCCTGCGAGTGGAATTTCACCAGCACAAACACCTCAGCATTTCCCAAAACATCTTGGTGGTGCCGGATGGGTAGACTGCTGGAGGAGGACTAGGGGAAACTGGGGGTTTAGTTCTGTATTGGTGCACGGGAATTTTAGATTCCACTTGACTTTATTACAATCAGCGTCTCTTAGTAAAAGTGCTTTTTCACTTCAACCAAATGGAGTCGAGAGTTTTACTTTCCTAGGAGAACAGACTGGGGCAGGTCTGACATTGGGTCTCCCTACAGCCAGCCCCAAACTTTCATTCAATCAATATGCATAAGATTTATGGGCACTGTGCTCTGCTTAGTTAATTTTTAAAATTATTTTTAGATGTTTTTATCCCACCTTTATAATCTTATAAGTAACTCAGAGTGGCTAACATACATTATAGTCCTTCCTCCTATTTTCTCCACAACAGCAACTCTGTGAGATGAGATGAGATGAGATGAGCCAGCTTTCTATGCATGCCTAAGGTAGGACTAATGCTCACAGCTTGCTTATTGTTTGTTTATTTATTTATTTTAATCCCACCTTTTATTACTTTTACAAATAACTGAAAGAGAGTGACTGGCCCAAAGTCATGTTGTCCTTCCTTCCTTCCTTCCTTCCTTCCTTCCTTCCTTCCTTCCTTCCTTCCTTCCTTCCTTCCTTCCTTCCTTCCTTCCTTCCTTCCTTCCTTCCCTGATCTGGAATGAATAAGAATGGAGTACATCCTGGGGGATGAAGGGTAGGAGAAGTATACACCAATGCCTTTCTTCAAAGAGATTTGGACACAAGAAGAATGAGAAATTGTGAATGTGTAACATTGTTTTGCAAAGCCCGTAGCTTCAATATTTATTGATTGCAGTACAGGCTTTTTTCTGTGAATCAGGAAAGTGATTGGTACTCTTTCTCATCCTGAAATTCCTAGCCAAGGCCAAGCTTATCTTTTACCAAGTTCTCAAGCAAGTGAGACTTATTCTGATTTGCCCTGTCAAAATCTTTGAATGCCACTGGGGTTATATACATGCACACACACACAAACGCACAGATCCACCACTTTCTTCCATTTCAGAGTAAGGAAGATTACACACAATGCAGAAAAAGAAGAAAGAGTAAGCCAAAAAAAAAAAAAATCAAAGATATTAAGATAAGGAAACAAAAAGGAAACACAGCTCAAATTAGTTTACACCAGCATCATTCAATGTATATTTCATACCTTTTTATCTTTACATCCCTTCATGATTTCCCTCTATTCTAAAGTTCCCCTTTTCTCTCTTTCTCAGGATCTCAGCTCCATCCATCCAAACTTGACTTTCTTGCTCTTCCCCCTTCTTTCAATCCATTTACTTTTCTTATATATATTTATTGTATAATAGGATCCTCCTTCATTCCTTCTATGTGACCAACTACTTCAATATATTTATTTTGTACTGGACATTCTTGTATTCAAGGCACGTTCATGCAGTATCCATACCTTTTTGATCTTCTCCCTTTTCATGTTATGATTCATAATTAAGTTACCCTTTCCCACTGCAATCTACTTTCATGTTTCTTCTGTCATACCCAGTGGTCACTTCTATGTAACTGAAAGGGCAAAAGTGTCCTCTTCTACACAGCCACTTTCACTTGCAGGTGACTAAGGGGCAAGAAATGTGCTCTTATAAGCAGATGTTTTCACCACTTTTATTATTATTCAACAGGTACCCACTATATTTCTGTCCGCATTTGCATAGCACATGTTGATATTTCTCCATGCTGTTGTGAAGGTATTTTCCTTGTCAGCCAGCAAGAGACAGGCCTAATAGTTATTACCTAAAGTAGATTGCAGACCTCCCTCCGTAAGGGAGAGCTGCTGCTTGTTGTATAAAGTCAGAGAGTTTCCTCCATCCTCTCCTCTCCTAGGGATTGTGGATTTTGAGGCTGTATTTGATTCAATTCTAAAAGCCCATCTTTTGGGGGGGGGGGATCAATATTTTGTCCATTGAAAAAAAGGCATTGCTATGGATTTATATAATATATTAGTCTAATTTAATGAAGAGAAGGACGAGGGGGGACATGACAGCAGTCTTCCAATATCTCAGGGGTGGCCACCAAGAAGAGGGAGTCAAGCTATTCTCCAAAGCACCTGAAGGCAGGACAAGAAGCAATGGATGGAAACCAACCAAGGAGAGAAGCAACCTGGAATTAAGGAAAACCTTCCTGACAGTTAGAACAATTAATCATTGGAATAGCTTGCCTTTAGAAGTTGTGGAAGCTCCAACACTGAACATTTTTAAGAATATATGTTTATATACATATATAAAATTCTCACGTGTGTATGTATATTTATATATTTAAGTCATATATATATATATGTGCACAAACGTATACATAAATTTGACTGGGGGATTCTGGGAGTTGAAATTTGCAAGTCTTAAAAGTTGCCAAGTTTGGAGACGCCTGCTGTATACCAGTGCAAAGTGAGATTGGACTGGACAGCTTTCCAGATTGGTCCTATTTTGTGCGACATGTATATGAATTCACCAATACTATAAGATGCTTTTAGGGATTTGATTTATAAGTTCCAAAACTGGTAGAAAACTACCTGCCAATCTTGCTGCATGTAGACGATGCCACCATTTTATCACTGATTCAAATTGGTCTAAGGAGAGCTTTTAAAACTCTGGGGTAAAACTGCAAAGGAAGAACAGCTGGTTATCATGAATCAAGGAATTAAGTTATGGTGTACAGAGAATTAACAAACTGTATGTTAGATATTACAAATATCTGGAGGAGCCTTGCAGTCGTCCCAAAGGACAACCACCCAGCTGGACTATTTCCTCCTAAACCCCAAAGAGCACGTTAGCTATTTTAAGATTCCATTGAAATGGAGGGAACGAGAATCCTGCTGCCATTAAAGAGTTTGCTTCAAAACAGTTGCACAATTCCTTTATGGGGTACAAGTTAAGCCCCTTTCCAACTATGCTACCTATTGGGGCAAAAAAAAAAAAGAGAGAGAGAGATTGGCTTTTTCGAAGCCTGTTCCCAATGAAAAATTAAGATTAAAAACATACCTCCCAAAATAGAAGTGAATGTTTAATATATGTTATTTATCTGGCTAAAACTCAATCTGGTGACCACAGAAAAGAAAAGGTAAAGGAGTCCCTGTGGATTTTACTCTGCTAGTCATTGCCGACTCTAGGGGACAGTGCTTACCACTGTTGCTCATCTCCATTGCAAGGGCCACTGAGCAGACATTTCCATCGTCATGGGCCAGCATTTGCCCAGGCGTTGATTGCCTTCATGGTATTTCCTCCATTGAGTTTGGACTTTAAGATCTTCTTCACTCTCTTGATGTATTCACCTCTAATCTTTTTCTTGACTTCATTGTGCTTGATGTTGTCAGCTTGAAGGATACCCAAATATCTTCCTCATCCAGACTCTTAATGTTATTTTCATGGGGCTTCTTGATTCCTTCAGTTTTCACTATTTTTCCTTGTTTGA